GACTCTAATGCTCCTCTCTGTCTATTGCCACAGGGGTGTGGGGAAAGGTAGAAAGCAAGTGATAAGCATTGCCGCCTTAGCACTGAACTGTGGATTTTCAATCGCAAGCAAGAGGGACTGCAGCACAGAACTAGGAGGCTACAGTAGCTAAATTTCTGGTGTTCCTATATTAATGTTTATTTACTGGCAAGACAGCCTTTGCTCCCAGTTATCTGGGGCATAAGTCTTCTTCCAGAAGTTGTAATGAGAACGTCTTTCTAGTCCTAGACAATGTGATCTGAGTGATTTCTAATTATGCTTTTCCATTGGTGTTACTTTCACTCCCTAAAACCTTGTTAAGGAATAATCATTAAGTGCTTCCTTTAGAGCTTCCGTTGCTTTTAAGGGCAATACATATATTTAATTCTATTCAATGAGAAAATCCATAGAATACATATGAATGTTCTTTTCATTCTACTTCAGAATGGGGAGTTGCTAATACTCATATACAGCTCCAGTATCTCAGTTGCACACAACCTGTGTTAAAAGAAGTGAATGGTATCATCATAGCTGTACTATGACAATGTTAGCAAAGCTTACAGATAAAAATGTACCCAGACCACAAATTTATGAGGGCATAAACATGAATTTGATCATACCTACTTAGAAACTACTCTTTCAGGGTTTTCTTCATCCAGGAACTGAAGCAAATGCCTTACATCTAGCATGAACATATTTATTTGTGGTTTGTTACTACAAGTCCCCATCTTCCTGAATTGAAGTAAAAAGAGAAAGGGTAGTTTCTCTTAAAACTTTTCTAATTTCTAAGAAGAGTCCCACATCTGAAAATGTTATCCCAGTAAATGACCAAGTACTGAAACCAAGGGATTAACCAGTGAGGAATCAGAGAGGGTTGGGTTTTGCCATCAGATTTTAACCATTTTTAAAAGCCATGTTGGTCAATTTACATTTTATACATACTTGAAAGAATGGCATGTTAAGATAAATGAACACATTATGATGCCTTCCAGTGTTACAGGTGACAAATTTGGAGATCCACATATGCTGTAAAGAACAGTACATTTGTTTAAATAAACTCATAGAAAACTAACATAAACAACTGTAAGACAGACTTTTAAACAGGTAAAATGAATAAACTAAAAATACTGCATCTCCCATCAACATACTGTGTGGTTCCACCACCTTGTGGCCAACAAAAAAGTTGCAGTTTTGCCTCAGAACGGTGCCGGCCGATTGCCTCGTCTAAGCAAATAATGAGGGTCAGAATCGAGGCAGGCAGCGGCCAGAAGCAACTACAGTCACTACGCTGCCCTAGTTAGCCGTTAGCTGATCCACTGAAAAATAGCAGCATTAAAATACAGCCTGAAATAGCGTAGCTACTACCTCCACTTGTTAAAATTGTGCAAGAATAAAGAACACCAGCAGCATTTTAATGGATGTGTTTCAATTTGATTTCAGACACTCCCCTCCTATACAAAGCACACCCAAACACAAAACTGAAACCAATCTAATAATTGTTATTTCTTGTCCATCTTTGAAAACTCTTCCCATAATTTGCTTTACTTAACTTTTTAAAAATTTGCCTAAACTATTTTGTGTTCCAAAAAAAAACCCAAAAACCAAACAAAACAAAACAAACAACACATTATAAAATAGTTTTTAAATGCCAGGAAACTGATGCTTTTGCCTCTCCTTGAACTGGAGATACACAGAGCATCCTAATCACCCCAATTTCTTAGGTGCAAGTTTTAACATTTCAGATTCCTTTTACTGAAAGCTACATTTTTAGGAAGGTCTCTCCAATACACTAGAGAAACAGCAGAAACTCCCAGGGCCCATGTAAAGGGTAATTTGTTTGCTAGTTTGCTCTTAAGTTGTTTATACTGTACCTTTTTGATATAGGAAATAGAAGAGTTAGGTTTTCTGACAGAGCTTGCAAGGGAATAGATCAGAGTAGAAATCAGAAGGTCGCCTCTGAAGCCAAGTTTTGCAATTCCCTTTTTGTTTAAGTATGATAAGGCTTATTAAAAAAAATAACTGAAGTAATAATTAAAAAAAAAAACCAAAAAACAAACTCCAACTAACATCCCTGGGAAAAGAACAAAAAGCCTTTTGGAAATACTTCTGAAAACATAAGACTATTTGAAACAACTTAATTGCAAAAGTAAAGGAAATTCAAGAAATCAATTCTCGTATTTCAAATCAGTTCATGATTTCATCATTAGCAATAAGATGTGCTGTCTTTATCTTCTCCAGCCCAAAATTACCAGCTTTGGGGAAAACATACTCATACTTAACAGAAATAATTAACGGGTTAAGTTAAATTAACCTTTTCCCTGATCCACATGCCTGCATGTTAGATAATGTTACAGTAGAACTGAGCATTGTAATGAGATATTAAAAGCAAGAACCTGTAACAGTAACCAAAGCAAAAGCTATTTTCTCATGGTTACATACTATAGATCAGTAATTTAACATTAAAATTAACTTCCTATATAAATAAAAATAAAAAAGTTGGGCAAACGTAAATTGGCACAGTCACTATGGTATTGCTTTCCAGTTTCAACACTGCAAAGAGCAGCCACGGATTCCAAACACCAAAAGGAAAAGGCGTTCACCAACCACCTGCTGTAGGTGGTTTTTTTTCCCCTTCAAGTGAAGTCATCAGCAGCACTGCTGCCTCCAAGATCCCAAACAACAGTTTGGAATGGGTAGGGGTGCAGCTGGCAGGACAGGGATTGCTATGGAACTGCTATGTGACAATGAGAACAAATACAGATAAACAAACCCAGAGAGTGTGGTTTACTGCATGACTTTTCTTAAGTCAATGGCTTTCAGGATTGTGACTCATTTTTACCTTCGAAAAGGCAAATAATAATAAAAATCAAAATCTTAAGCCTTCAAGTTTCCTTGCCTTCATTCCCTCCCTCCCCAAAAAAGCACCTCCTACTATAGACACTTCCTCTTTTTTACAGGTTCAGAAGTTGGAATGTAGTGGAAATACATACATGAGAGAAGGAATTTCTAGTTGTACATTACATTACAAAAAGGTTTTCTCCCAGACTTAAGGATGGAGGGATACTAAGCAATATTAAATTCCTATAAGAATCCTTACAAAGCATGCAAAATATATACTCACAAAATCGAAATTTATAATTCTTCCTTTTTGAGTTTTCAACTTCACAGTACAATGATTTCTAATATTATGCAGCAGTCAGAATTAGTGGCTACAGAATCATTTCCCTTTCTTTTCTTTCCATTTGTTTGAAAGACTCCTTTGTTGTTTTTTGGGGTTTTTTTTGAGAGGTTGCAGATCACCCATAAGAAAATATGAAATTCAGCATAACAGAGTTGCTTTCTTTGTTATACTTCCCCTCAAATGATGCTGACAGCCTAACTATACCAATCTTTCCAAACCCATCCCTCCCTCCCTCCCTCCCTCCCCTTCTCATGCCCATTCCTTCCCTTATCTTCCAGCTGTACTTTTCTTCTCATCAGAATGATGGACGGATGCCACTAAATGGATGCTGCAGAGCTGGGCAGGGAGTGAAGGGGTTGGGGTAGTTCATGCAAATGGAGTCGCTCCCACCCCCCAGGGTGTTTAGCTCAGCTGTGTCACAGCCGGAATGCTCTGCTCTGCACAGCAGCAGTTGGACTGTCCTGTGCTCCCTGGACCCCTGTGTGACCACGGTGGCTTTAACCGCTGTAGGCAGGGAAACACAAAGGCAGTGTTTGGCTTGACCTTCTGTACTGCTCTATGTAGTTCCATAGAAATGTCTTCACTGCTCTTATTTAAAACAGGGTTGGAATTGCTGGAGAATACACAATGCATGCTGCTTGCTAGACTGTCCCTGAAGTACATCCTGACATGATTTATCGGAGTGTACCAATCAGAAAAAGACTCTTGTAGAAGCAATGTACAAAGCCTCCAGAAATTCAAAATTCTTCTGTTAAAAAAAAAAAAGTGTTCTGAGAGAAGTCTGAAGTAAGCAGCCAGCCAAACTGACAGCCACAGGTTATTATTTTTTGTCCACAAATCCTTCAGTTACTTTTGCAGTGATCTTTTCTTTGGAGTGTTGGGAATTAACAGCCTTCCCAATTAATTTACGTTAAGTTTGGTGGGGCCTAAGGAATTTAGCAATCCTGCCTGGATAACACTTCCCCTGCTTTTATATGCAAACAGACAACAGAATCACTGACTCATCCTCCCTGCCTGCTCAATTTGCTATATTATTTATAATATAACATTATTAGATCTGGCTCCCCTAAACCAAAACCCATCAGAGGTGCAGCCCAGGCAAGAGCAGGGCATCTCCTTCCCTAGAGCTGTGGAAACATTTGCAAAGGAAGGGGTGGGTGAGACAAAAATAAACTAAACTAAACCCCAAACCCCAAACAAACCAACAGCTTGAGTCGTACACAAACCTGTTTCATTGCTTTAGAACCCTGTTCAAATCAAGACTTGAATTTCTAAGGAGGGAATCTCAGATCCCAGACCCTTCCCTTCTCCTCTTGCAAAACAACACTATTTTTGTGGCCTAGAACAGTACTTTACAAACAGCAGTTAGTAAAGATGCAGTTGTGATGTATCCTTTAACTCCCCCTCACCCAAAAAGGGGTATCCTATCAAGTGGTCCAGTAGAAATCTTGAAGTTTCTTTTTGATAAATTAAAACCATAAAATGAGGAATACCTTCTGTCACATTCCCAACAAGAATAGCCACACTGTGGTGTATTTGTTCAAGTGTCTATTGCTCCCTCTACTGGAGATGCTGCACAGCTCCATCTCCAGTTCAGTTCTGGTCCTACCAATCCAGAGCAGAGGTTTTTCTCCCTCTTCAGCTTGTCTCTCGTTAATGAACAGCAGAAGCGCCGAGGGCTGCAATTCCCCAGGGCAGGAACAGGCCAGCAATGTCTGAAGAAACACCAGTTGTCTTTTTCTCAGGTGAGGCAGATTTATGCCAAAAGCAGTTTTGTGTGTCCTGTTGGTATCGCAGGCACCTACACCTCTGTGGAGAAGAGAATGCTTTGCCTCTTGCTGTCTGGAGTAGGGATAGTCTCTAGCTGCAGGAAGTACAGAAGAACTTGAACCTGAAAGAGAGGTCATCAGAAAGCCCTGTTAGCTCATTCTTATCCTGGCTACTGGAGAGCTGGGCAGACACACCCACAGCTCTCTACCCAGGAACATCCTGCAGTTATGTATTTGTTTTACTACGGTGTACAATACCAGCAGGAGTATTAAAACCTGCAGAGCTTCAGAGAGACTCTTTTCAGGAGTGTATTCCAGGGTGTAATAATGGTGTTGGTGTTCCACTGTACTCTAAAAATCTGATCTATAATTTGCCATTACTCAGTCAAGAACACACAAAATGCCCTTGACCAGTTAACAGCCTCTTCAGAAGGCAGCAGTAAGCCAAAGAAATCTGACTTTAGCAAAGAATTTTCTTGTGCATCAGTGAAGGTGGTATAAGTGTTGAGGAGCATCATGGAAAACCACAGACGGCCTTTTATCCCAGGCTGTCAATGTGGTGCTGTGAGACAGCGCTTGAAAACACTCACTATGGACAAACACACTGGATGTGTGCCTCCTGACATTTGTTCTATGAAAAGCTGTGTTGCTACAGATACAGACTGAACTGTCTCAAGAAACACTGGTCTACAAACAGTCTAAAATGTCTGTGCAGGGGTGAAAGTGTTCATGTTCCTCAAAACCACCAGGCCTTGCCAGAGAACTGCAGTTCCCCAGGTACTGCCTGCACAGGATGCAGTAGCATGTGCAGGGTTTTACCTGGGACATGACTTCTAGCGACCAACTATCCGTCATTGTGATGGGCTGGGTCGGGTTGGCAGGGATTTTACTGTCCTTCTCTGAAGGTCTGAGCAGTGTTGGTCCAAAGACAGTTGCAAGATTATGCAGGGACATCTTGTTAACGCTTTCCCTCTCAGCAACTCTGGGAGAAGAAACAACGAAAAAGGCAAGACTTATAAATACCCACATTTGGAAGTGTCCTTAAGTAAGAAACCGTATTTATTCCTGTTGCAGAAAGTTTGAGACGCATTCAGTCAACCACTTTCTTCATATGTGCCTAAATTAACTTTACGTGTAAGCAAATACCTTGATCCGACAAAGCTACAGCCTCCAGGCACTCTACAGACACAGCTTAAACTTGGGAAAGGGACTGCTGCTTACTGCCTGGACAGGCAGATGTGGGACAGGAATAAAGGAATGTTTCTCATCCCAGTTTTATAAAAGAGAAACTGGGGCACAAAGGTTAAAAAATTTACCCAAGGGCAGAAAAGCCTGCAGCAGAAACACAAGTAAAACCCAGATTTCCTGCATCTTAGACCAGGCCCTCAGTCACAAATTACCTTTCATCTCTCTGTGACAGTTGCTGGTATGTACAAATTACATGTCAGTTAGCACACTGGGCAGGAATTGAGCAAGCTTCTTACATTAATATCAAACATATGGAAATAGTTTTTCACAGTTAGAACCATACTACAAAGACATAGACAAGAGCAGAAGGACTGGTCTAAGCAGTGAACTGACAACTCCAGAGAGCAGAAGTGCCAGAGTTCTTAAAAATACATCCTGTTAGATTGCAGATCCCTCTCGAGACAGGGCTTACAAGTCCTTAAACATGGCCAAAGTTTCATGAGTTATACTAAAACCTTTCCCCATCTCTGTATCCAGATGCAGGTGCAGTTTTGCAGTGATACTGGAGCAGGAATTTGCACTTGCACTTGATAAGCCCGGAGACTTTTGTTACCCTTTTCCTCCAGTTCTAATCCTTTCAGTGTGAGTAAGAACAGAGTTCAGGATTTAGTGCCTAAGTGAGCACGAGACAACAGTTATCTGATAAGCATTCACAGTAGATGAGCAACTGCTTCTTCCTTTGTGTGATTCAGCATGCTCATGCTGAAGAGGCTCCTCTTCTCAAAATAATGATAATTTACACATAAAGTAAGTGTCTAAAGAATACACATATTACCTTTTTAAATGGTCCAAAAGGAAAAGGAATGTCACAAGGTTGGGCTCTGGAAGTGATAACAACAGATTCAACATACAGCTTTCCTTTGCAACAGGGTCTGAAAGTGCTGCAGGACAGAAAAGAACAGAACATCACCATAGGCAGCGAGCGGAGCTTGACTGACCACATCATTTCCCAAACCAACAAATATAGAAGCTCCTGAATGGGTTGTAATTGCGTCATAGGTTGGAAGGTCAGAATTGCACATCAGTACCCCACAGGATCTCTTTATTTCACAGACACATACAGAATCCTTTCTTCTCAAGCAGTTCAAATGCTTTCACATTTACCACCCTACAATGTTTTTTACCCAGACAAAGTATAACCCCACCCTAAGAGGGCTTCCCTGAGTGGGGCACGCAGCGTGCACACCCTCCACAGCAGGGGCTCATTCTATTCTGAACCCACCCTCAGAAACCTGCACATTTTCAGCTTACAAGACAGCACACCAATTGCCTGTATTCAAGGTCATCGGAGGATGATGTCATTCCAACACTCACTTCTGAGCTCCATTTCACTTCCCTAACAGCTTGTAGCCAGGCTTCTGTTCAACGCTATAAATATGGGGGGTTTAGGAGCAGCCTCCTACAGAAGAGTTTCAGTTATCGGAAGTTATTTCTGCTACTACCTACCAATGCCCTCAGCAAAGTTGGGGTACAGCTCATCTGTGAAGAGGGGTTCAGGCAGTTCCCGGAAGTACAATTTCAAGGTGCCTGCAATGGCGTTAACATCCATCTCGCTCATCATCACTGACACGTCTTTGTTATCTGGAAGAAGGAAGAGGGGAAGCAGGGTAAAGAAGCCGCTGGCCTTGCATTCCTTCTATTCTGGCTTTGGCCCTCTTTGTTTATGCTCTGTCTTTGCCCAAATTTTCCTGTTTACATTTCTCCAGACTAAGTGAGCTACTTCTGACAACCAAGAAGCACTGCACAAATGACTGCAAACAGTTTATAGCTTTAAATAGAGTAAAGAAACCTCACACCACCCAGGGTTAGATACACTGTGCCAGCAACCTCAGCCTAATCTGGAACTAGCCCCACTTGACTGTATTTACATGCATTTCAACTTTTGTTATTCCAATTTCCTGTCTCTAACAGTCTCTTAGAAAAGAGATTTGGAGGCTGTCTAACTCCCCACTGACTGTAGCTAAAGTACACAGGCAATTCAGGGTACTGTTTTGTTCTGTTACTCACATTTCAGTTCTGTCACTATTAAGAACAAAACCACCCCCCTTCCCTCAAACAAACAGCTCAGCCCACAGAGCCAGCGCTGGTTTCATGAAGCTCAGTGTAAACTGGCATCTACTATGAATGAGAAAAGTTCTCTTTCATAATGCTAAACCCTTTCTTGCACTAGTGAAGATTTGTGAATCAATGGTTTTCGTAGCTTAAGGGGATTGAAAACAAAATACAAGAAAGAAGAAACTTCACAAAGTAAATGAAGAAAAAGTGCAGGGAGGGTGAACTGGGGCACTGGGCAGAGGCCTCATGACTGCCTACATCAAAGACAGCTCAAATATGGCTTGAGCAGTCCTTGGACCATCATGTGGAGGATGAAAGTAGGGCAGAACTTCACTTTTTGTACCTCAGTGATCTGATCTTGAATGTCTGTTGGGACATACAGGCTATTCTTTTAAAAGCAGCTCCAGCAAGGAGCCCTTTTCTGCTCAAGATCAAAGAAAGCTTTACAGAGCTTGGTCAAAATTATCTAATTTTACAATCTGCAGACATCAATGTAGAGTTAAGCAGAGAACTGGGGAGCCCTGACAGCCCAGCTCCAGTTCCACAAACACTCTTCTAGATAATGTTCCTTGGAACCTTTTTTTTTTTTGCTGGCTTCCTTCCACAAAACATTCTTAATTTCAAGGGCTTATATTAACTTGGAGACCCCACAACACTGAGGAAATTATGACTTCTGGTTGCTGCCACTTCCCTTGAGGAAGGTGTCTGCTGTTTACACAGATCTGGCAAGGCAGGCAAAGCCACCATTCCATGTCTGTTAGGAAGAAGAACGAATGTGTTATCTGGTACAGGAATCCACTTCGTTGTACATCTTATATCTGTAGCTGAAGCGTATCAACAAAACATGCAGCCAGGGTAAAACGATTCTCCTTGTGCAAGAGAATCTCTACCTCTGAATGCTTCTTGGGGAACATAAGACTAAAACCAGCATCGCCCCCGACAGGGAGCTCGCGCAGTGCAAAGGAGAACATCAGACACAAATACTTACTGACATCAAAGGCGGCTTTCAGAGCTTGGATGTCAGTTGCCACCCCAGAGACACGGTAGATGCCCACCTCCTCCATCCCACGCCGCTCTATCTCCTCCACACACTGGCGAACTATGTAAGGCACCTTCGACCTCTCTCTCCTTAGGAAAGCCAAAGAGAAGAGTTCAGTGCAGCCTGTGCCCTCCCTTGCCTGTCACCCCAGCCAGGCCAGCTAACATCATCCCACCATTTTGTTGTGCAAACCTTGTCTGGAAAATGGGGTGGGAGAAAGGCTGAGCAGGCACTCCAGACTGAGCTGAAAAACTCCTTTTAAAACTGGAGGGGGTTTTCTGACTGTCTCAGCCTGGCTTTGGCTGTTCTACAGCTTCCTGAGTGCTTGAGCTTCTGGCTGGATGCCAGCGCCCCAAGAGCCTGTGACTCTGTGCAGGTAATCAGAGGATTCCCAAGCAGTCCTTGGATACATAGCAACACTGGTGCTTTCAAATTAATGCAATTCCATAGGGAGGAAGTACCGCACTTCCCAAACTGTGTAACAGAACAAAAAGGTTCTTTCTGGCAAACAATTCATGACAAAAGATGTGGGGTTAAAATAATATAACAGGATCCAAAGAACTTCAGCATTTCTGGTTACGGAAACATCACTGTTTGGTGGCTCTGGAAATTTGTGACCACGTCAGCTAACTAGAGAGTAAAGGGGCAAGGGGTATATCCGGAACTCAGGAAAGTGATATGCTCTCTGGGTTTCAAAGCCTGCACCCACACTAGTTTTTCCCCTGCAAAAAATTAAACTCAGAGGATGCACAGCATCTCCTTTCTGCAGCCACAGCCTTCTGTGCTCCTGCCTTGTGGAACAGGCTGGGCTGACCAACCCCCAGTACAAGCCCCTGGCCAGGTGGATTGCTAGTAACTTAAATGGAGAAATGTGACCCATCAGCTCACTTTGTGACAATAGCAATCTTGACCCCAAAAACCCCGGTCTGTTTCCGGGATGGCATCCTCTTCAGGCTAAACTCCCGACTGGTGAACTTCACTGACAGCTTCACTTCAACCTGGAGAGAAAAGAGAAACAGATCAGCTGCTACTTCTCAAACATTTTTCCCCCCCCAATGCTGCAGTGAAGAGCAAGGAAGTAAAGCACACGAGAGGTACAGAAGCAGTGCTAACTTCTGTTTCCATACTTACTCCATTCATTGAGATGACCGTGCGTTGCCAATCTTTGTCCTGCAACACCTGTGGGTCCAGCTGAAAAACATGGAAGCAAGACATGAGCTAGGAGCAGACCTCAGGGAAATCAGTGAGCCTGCAAGGCCTGTGTAAGTGAGCAGAGCACTTTCAACATGCTATTTCTTTTCTACAGGAAAAGATATCCAAGGTTTCCCCAGTTCCAGGTAACGGGACACTGCTGCTCTGTGGATCTCTAAGCAGAGCTGAGGAGGACTCACACACATGGAAAATCCACCAACATGTTTGCAGAGTCTGCTCAACAACAAAGGCAATCTCAGCTGTCAAAGAGAGACTGCAATGATTGCTGCAACACAACAGGCATGTTACCAGCCAGCCAAGTGCATCCCATCCCACAGAGCCAGGAGCCAGAAAACGGGAGGACAGATTTCTGAAATACCTCTGATTTGAAACAGAGGAAGCTGTCTCCCTCTGAAGTTTTCCAGAGACAGATGAGGTTGAATGAGTGTGATATTACTACACTGAAGTAAAATGCCAGGCTGGAGAACTTCATGGCTCTTTACTATGAAGCTAATAGCTTCTAAGGAGGACTATGTTCCACTGAATTCAAAAGACATAATCACCCCAACAGCGAGATCAAGGAAGAGAAATATGAAGTAATCCATATAGAGACAAGTAACTTTAAACAAACCAAACCTCTGTCAGGATGTGACAAAGGAGAAATGGAGAAAATTGGACCAGAAACCATGGAAAGTTGTCCTCCTTCAGCTACCTATTCCTTTTCATTTCTGAGCATGGAGGCAGGAGGTACACCTGGCCATGCTATTAAAAGAACTCACGAAACAAAGAGAAGTCCTGAGGCAAAGCCCTGATCTCCCATTTTCAGCTTTGCCTGATCTCTTTTGAGTGGACAGCTGGGGAGCAGCTGACCAGTACTCAGACACCAACCAACAATGCCCATACTGCCTGAATTGAATGCCTGAAGAGTGGCACTCAGCTCAAGCCAGACTGGGAGAAGAGGTAATAATGCTGTGTGCACGGGGACTCCTCTCAGCGATCAGAACCAGCCAACGCAAGCAGTCTTTGGTGCCTCTTGAGATGGGTTTGTAACACTTGGTTCTCAAATACTAAGACACAGTAAGACCAGGAGGAGGCAACTGCAGCAGACTCTGTGTTGGGAGTTTACTGCCATCAGCAAACAAAAAGACAGTCAGAAACTAGAGCCACTCCTGCAGCCCAGCTCCGCCTTTGCAGCACCCCATGCAGAAACAGAGTTCTCTAACAGGCAGAGGTAGATGTTGAAGCAATGGCAGCTGCCATTTAAGATCCTGGGAGATCTTAAATGCAATCATGCTCTTCCAGATCATCAACAAACCAGCCCAATGCTGCTGTCAGCTACAGACACAAGTGCCCCCTCATCCTTCCCCACTCACCAAAAAACACAACCAACAGAGAGAAAGGTTTCTCCCTGCTTGCTCCCACTGCAGACACCCCAAGAAGCAACAGATAAGCAAGTCAGGCCAACCTTATCCCTGCACACTTTGTTACGGACGTGAGCCCACAGAGGGATGCTGCCAGCACACATGTGCTTCCCTGTCGAATTGGACCGGTTCCTGTAGGTGCAGCTCTGGCAGAAATTCCTGAAGACCCCTTGTAAGGAATAGTCAGTAACCAGTAGCTCCCACATCTTGGGACTGCACAAAGGTCCAGGAGGCCAACAGGCTGCAGTGCTTAGCTTCAGTGCTTCGGCGAACCCAAATAGCAGACTGCTTGCCAAGAGGGTTTGCTTATAACTCGGGTGGAACAGATCCGCCCCACTGGCGCTGCTGGCCAAGGGCCCCTTGAGCTGGCCAGAATCACGGCTGTTTTTCCCTGACTTTCCGTGCTGGAAGTTTGGCTCCTTTCAACAACTGCATTCTTTCCCAGAATCAAGAGGAAACCACTTCTGAAGTGTCTGGTTTCCTGTGAAGAGCAGCCATGCTCAGTATTCCTGACAGCTTGATCTCCAGCTGCCTAAATAGTCATCTCACTAAGCTGCCAAAACAGCCCTGCTGATAGACACAGTCACAGCTGATCCTCCAGCTCAGAAGCAGTTTTCCATATGTTTTTAGAATGGAGACACTGAGACTGTATTATTTATAGCAGGGAGAGACTGCTTAAGAATGAAAGGGAAAGAGGGCTT